CCCCCCCCCGGCTGTCTCTCCTCGCTCTCCCCAGCTATCTCTCCTCGTTCTCTCCCCCGGCCGTCTCTCCTCGTTCTCTCCCCCGGCCGTCTCTCCTCGTTCTCTCCCCCGGCCGTCTCTCCTGCATGCTGGAAACCCTACATAGAGGTTCAGTTGAGCCTAAATGAGCAGGTCCCAGGCGGGACTTCTCTGTGCATGTCCAGAACAATAAAGTTTTATTGAAAAGCTCAGATCATCCATGTACGGCCGATCAGTCAAGCATGCAAAGATTGAGCTTCAAATAGGTATATAGTGCCTAGATGTGCTGTTACATACCTGCAGCACTTTTATTGCTTCCTGAACTCTGTGTGTACATAGTGTCAACTGTCTGTTGGACTCACTGACTTACAACTGCCATTCATACACAGCGCAGGCGCAGCTCACAGCAGCCCCATGAGAGACGCGCCGCTATCAGGGAATATGAAGAGACTCCATTACTCATGTCTAGTTGTCCCAGTTACCTGTAGAGTCCAAGAAACTTCTCCATTACATGTGAGGTCATTCTGATGTGATGATATGATGAAACTCAGGAGGTAATTAAACGCGAGTACATCTATAATCTATACATCCAGAAATGTTCTGTGCTTTGCTCGTGTTAAATAAAGTTGTAAACTAAAATGTTTTTAAAAAACTCGGCACGCTGTCACCATTTGTATGAGGCTGATTCCACTGGATCATAATTCAGATTATTCACTAAGGCCTTGTTCACATGAGATCAGGTCCTGATCAGCAGACGTGGAGCTGCTGATGCAGTGCGTTTTTGACGCGTTTTTGATGGGTTTTCGGTCCGCATGCTGACGGTTCTTTTTTTTTTTTTTTAGCCAAGGGGCTGTCAGTATGCAGATTCAGCCTCTGAGGTCACTTCCGCCCTCTCGTAACATCTACTTCCCTTTGTGTATGTAAAGCTGGTGATCAGACATGTATCACATGTTTGCAGGCATGTTGATGGTGCCGGCTACAGCAATCTGCAGAGAACGAGCCCGCAGGAGACGTCGTTATTGGGTACACCCGATCTTGGGGCTCCGGGACTCCATGGGTCAGTTCTGGAGTTTGTATGAGGATTTGCGAGCTCACCCGGATAAATTTTTCATGTCGTTACCTCTACCCCAATCTGTCTGTCTATCGTTGATAACATCATAATAAGTGGCACAAGAATACATTTTTTTTCCCTTAGCTGTGTTGCGTTTCCGTTCCGTTTTCGTTGCGTTTCGTGCGCGTTCCTGCGTTTCCGGACCGGACAAAATGTGACATGCAGTATTTTTTCTGTCGTAAGCTGAACGGACTGCGCACGTGAGAACTGTAGCCCATAAAACACATAGGGATACATTGGGATGCATTTTGAGTGCAGCAGCGTACGGATCCGGTCAGCACACAAAACGGACGTCGTGTGAACAGGCCCTAAAACAATATAAAGTGCAAAAGTCCATAGCAACCAATCAAGTTTCAGTTTACTGTGGTCAGATCTCTGAAAGATGCATTCTGATTGGTTGCCACTTGTCGTTTAATGACTCCTCCCCCCCCTCCCCTGAGTGCAGCCCGCCATGCAAAATACTTAGCTGCCTCCCTGGAAAGACTGGGGGGATTTATTACTAAAGGTACAGATGCCTTGCAGGTGTCCCAGCCTCCTGTGAGTGGCAGTATAACCCGACTGTTTCTGGCTTCCTGTGTCCCTCAATGGACGAGAAAGAAAGATACAAATGTATACATCACTAGATGCGTATTCAATGCAGGAAGTATTGATATCGACAACTGTCAGAGGGAGAAACAGAACAAGGAGGGCCAGGGTTGACCACCCCTGATATACTCGCTCCAGGTTTGCTTTAAAGGGAACCATGTTAGTTGCCTGGCTTTCTCTGGGTTCGCTACTCATTTAGAACCCCCGATCTGTGTACTTGTTCCGAGTCGGAGACTTAGAACGTACCGAAGCCACTGCACCACCAAACATATATTTAGGAGTAGAGGAACTGAAGCCCCCCGTACTTCCTCACTGAAGGTTTTCTTTGTCGTGGATCTGTACTGTGGGCTGTACCCAAAACAAGGCAGGCAGAGGGCAAAGGACTAGGCACCAGCATTGCCTGCGGACTCCCTGCAGCTGATCTTTTCCCTCATTACTGACTTAACGTGTCTTGTTCCGCACTGTGTGGAGACGGCCATCTTGGTAGAGACAGGGCTTTGCTTCCGCAGGTCAGAGCTGCCTCCTTGATGACTGCTGATCTGATGACGGGTGGGGTAATGATGAAGAAGCAGCAGTAGGAGAGGCAGTGGTAGCACAGAATGAATGAAGTAGAAGGAGGGAGATTCTTGTACTGCAGGTCCTCAGGTGCAGCTTCCCCTCCAGCAAGGAGAACAGTGATCAGCACAGTGGTGGCATCACCAAATCTCACTCCAAATCTGGTGACTGCAAAGTAATAATGATGAAGAAGGGGCAGGGGAGGTGGAAGAAGCACAGATTCACATAATGATTAAAGCAGAGGCAGAGAGATCCTTGGTCCAGATCTGCATTTCATTTCATCTTCCCATAACTCAGGATTTATTGATTGCATTGACATACAAGTTTAACTGAACATGGCCTCTACTGTGTAAATGTTTAGGATTTGCTCAGTCTGAATTCGCCATGATTGTGACAGGGTCTCTTTTAAACGCTCCTCCACCCTCAAGGAGAGCAGCAGACAGTAGTGACTACGGATTTAGCCGTGTAACCGATCCCTTCCACGCTCTATATTAAGGTTCCTCTGAGCCAGGAGGGGTGTACGGTTACTGGGGCCGAGGCTCGGGCCTCCACTCGCTGTACCTGCACCTGCTGTCTGCGGAATTAAAAGGCCGATCCTTAATCCGAGCCGACCAAAGTCACCTTCCCCTCGCAAAACTGACATTTATCCCCAGCCGAGAAACATCAGCGCCGAGGTGTCCAAATCATTATGAATGCAAATGTTTTATTGGTGCAAAGTGCTGACCTTGTGACTGCGGGTGTACAGTCCAATCACAAAGGTCTACGCATTCGTTCTATTTAAAGCCGAGCACCAGGCAAATCAGCAATTGGAATAATGACTGTATATGGGAGCTGTCAACAAGTGTGTGCTGCAATTCTGTCCAGCCCTTCCTGAAGTTTACACAGCTCTGCCGGCCTGCTGACTTTGACTTTTCTCTGCTGCAGATAAGCAATAGAGCCATGTCACCTCCCTGCCCCCAGCCTGTGATAGATAAGCAGCAGCAGTAGATGGATAAACTCATCTTTCCGCTCTCTCTGCCCCCTCCTTCTATCAGCATGTTCCATCATTATATGTGCACTGCACCATGCACAGTTTTCTCCAAGTGCCTTAAACGTTTTGGTAATTCTAAATGATGCCTCCATTTCATGCGTCAGGATCAGCTGCTAGTGACCTCACTGGAGTTCTGTTGGCCCTGGAAGCGACCCATTATTGTGGATCCTATGCATTTCAAGCCAATCCATCGATAAGTCAATACGACCATGCAGGTCCATGTCCCTGAAATGAGATGGGACCCTTCTCACAAGTTCTCGTTGGTGGAAAGTGGTGCATCTCTTCATCAGCAGTGAGAGGTGAATTGGGCGCCATCTTGGGAGAAGTTTGCCTGGTCCAAGGGAAGGTGTCCATGCGGTGGCTCTGTCTCTTTTTATCAGATTTCCCCATGGTGGATCGGTAGAGGGAAGCAACACGGAGATGTTCTACATGGAGATGTTCCTCTACTTTGCTCCACATGAAGATGTTCCCTGGAGATGTTCCTCTACTTTGCTCCATTTGAAGATGTTCCTATACTTTGCTCCACGTGGAGATGTTCCTCTACTTTGCTCCACGTGGAGATGTTCCTCTACTTTGCTCCACGTGGGAGATGTTCCTCTACTTTGCTCCACGTGGAGATGTTCCTCTACTTTGCTCCACGTGGTAGATGTTCCTCTACTTTGCTCCACGTGGTAGATGTTCCTCTACTTTGCTCCACGTGGAGATGTTCCTCTACTTTGCTCCACGTGGAGATGTTCCTCTACTTTGCACAGAGGTAAAGTCACTCTAGTTAAGGGAATCTTGCCTCGGTGGTGCAGAGCGAGTCTACTACATGACCATGCCGGACTGCTGCGCACATGTGCCCCCGTTGGCTCTGAATTCTCAAAAGCCTTCATCCTTTTCTTGGCTGTACTATGCAGCAAGTCGCTGGTATACATTTACTCTTCTGATAATATAATAGTGCGGGTCGTATAATGCCGGATGATTGACTGCAGAAAAGAGGAAGCCATAAATCATTTTCTGTAACATAAACTGACAATGACTCCCTTGTATTGCCTCGTCTGGAGAGCATGCCAATAAAAAAGAAATGAGGAATGAAGATGGATCTGCCCCAGGCCCATTAGGTGTCTCTGCACTTTTATGGAAATGATGTGAAGAGTCAAAGATGTGATGGGTACAGGCTAGACAAACAAAAAGCTGTATTAAAGGGAAATTCCCGCGTCCAACCTGCAGACTTCTGTGACCATTTACTATACATTAAAACAATAACCTCAGTTACATCACATGGCCAAACGTTTGTGGACACCTGACTGTCACACCTATATCAGCTCATTGGACATTCCGTTACAGAACCACGGCCATCAGTATTGAGCTGTCCCCTCCTACCAGTAATAGCAGCCTCCACTCTCCTAGGAAGGTCAGGTACTGATGTCGGATCAGAAGACCTGGATCACAATTGGTGTTCCAGTTCATCTCAAAGGTGATCAGTAGGGTTGAGGTCAGTGTTCTGTGCAGGACACTCGAGTTCCTCCACACCAAACTGGTCACACCATGTCTTTTATAGAGCTGGCTTTGTTGCCCCCCTTTTGGGGCTACAACAACCTCCACTCTTCTGGGAAAACTTTCCACAAGATTACGGAGGTTGTCTGTGGGAATTTGTGTCCATTTGTGAGGCCAGGTACTGATGTTGGATGAGAAGACCTGGATCACAATTGGTGTTCCAGTTCATCTCAAAGGTGATCAGTCGGGTTGAGGTCAGGGCTCTGTGCAGGACACTCGAGTTCCTCCACCACACTGGTCACCCCATGTCTTTATGGAGCTGGCTTTGTACACAGGGGACCGTCATGCTGGAACAGAAAAGGGTCTTCACCAAACTGTTACCACAAGGCTAGAAGAGAACAATCGTCTCTTTTCCCGGCTTCCTGTTTGTGAGAAGGACTTAAAAACTTCAGAGATTCTGCTATGAGCTTGACATAAGAATTAGACATGTGCACTGCCAAAAAATTCGTTTAGTTTCGTTTTAAATTCGGATTTGTGTTATTTTGTTTTTCGGGATTCGGGTGTGAAAGTCAATTCGGATTCGGACGAAATTCGGTAGCGGTAGTTCGAACGTTCGTTTCGTTTTCTGTTCTTATTCGTTTCGTTCGTTCGTTTGCAGCAAAGTGACATTTGAGGGGGGAAAAATATTTTTCTCCTTCTCTAATGTCACTTTGCTCAAACGAATACGAAACGAATAAGAACAGAAAACTAAACGAACGTTCGAACTACCGCTACCGAATTTCGGAAATGGAAATTCGGAGCACACAGACACACCAATCCCTGTAACCCTATTATTAACATTTCCTGAGCCCTGACACCAACGCTTCCTGTGACCCTAACACTAACCCTCTCTCTATCCATAGCACTGACCTTCCCTGTAACCACAACACTAACCCTCCCTGTAACCCCAAAAGTTAGGCCCCATTCACACGAGAAAAAGGCGGCACATACAGTGAAAGCACCATTCACAACCAGGCTTCTACGTTTCCTTACAGTATGTGCAGCATGTGCAGTGTATAACCCGTAGTACAGGTCACATTTAGGCCTCATTCACACTAAAATCGGCCGGCACGTACAGCTCCGTGCTGCGTATGCGGTCGTATCGGGCAGCTCCCGGGAGGGACAGGTGCTGCGTGTGATTAGTACGCAGCCCCCGTCCTTCTCTATGGGGCAACGTGGCCGTACGCCGCCCTACGCTCACCCCAAGTGCACGTCCGTACGGGTGCGGGTGTCCTGACTCGTCCTGGCCCGATACGACCGCACACGCAGCACGGAGCTGTACGTGCCGGCCGATTCCAGTGTGAATGAGGCCTAACCCTCCCTGTAATCCTAACACTGACCCTGCTTACTGTAGACATAACCCCTTGTTCATAATATCCATACCTCTGTCTCTCATCTCTCTCTCTCATGGGAGACACCACCAGAAGCCCTGGCTGTACCCTCCGGAGCCATTATGTTGCGGTCTGAACCCTGAACAGCGGTTTTCCTTGTCCTAGCAGCTCTCTACCATTCCGGTGTAATGTGAGGAAGTATCTGGCACAATGGGGCCGATGTACAAACAATCTCAGCGGTGATACGGATCCTTTTCTATTGGGTATGTATTACGGGTCAGAGACGTAGCCGGTGACCATGCAGCACAATGTCACGTCTGTTCCCGGCGAGCTGCGCTGCTTCACATGCTGCGGCCCGCATGACAATGATTGTGTTGGCTTTTGTCACTTAGAGATACGACATCCTCCGCAGTCCGGGCCGCAGACACTGCGCTACATTGTTCTCTGTTCATGCACAATTCAGCCCCCGTCTATCTGGCTTCCTCCGCTGCCAAGATGGCTGCAGGAGCTACGCCAGGGGGTGAGTGGGTGCCGCATGGTGGAAAACAATCGGCAAGGCTTCATTGAAGCTGATCTCCAATCAAATATATAAAAAGACACAAATTAATACAACCCGATCTTCATTAATATATCATTACATGTATTTTTTTTTTTTTAATGCAAGAAGTGTAAGTATCTGAATGTTACCTTCCTGTACAGCAGGGCTCAGGCTGCTGTACAAGAGAGCACCAGGAGCCAATCAGTTGTGCTGCATTATAAGGAACATGCTCAGAGAAAGCAGAGCGACAGAGAGATAAGCTCATCTGTCTGCTACGATCACAAGCCGGGGGAGGGACAAGACCTGTAAGTGTTACTTAACTGCAACTGAGAAAAATCAGGTCTCCTGTCCTGCCAAAAAGGGCTGTGCTCTATGGCAGAGGATGTGCTGTGTGTGGCAGAGCTGTGTTAATGTCAGCACCGAATGGACATCAATCCTTGGGCTTAAAACTGCATTCATTCACATATTTAGCGGCTTGCCCGGAGTTCAGCTTTAAGGAAGAGAATCCGAGCTCATAACGTACGTCGGGATTCCCAAACTGGAAGACAAGAGAGCAACTGGAAGCCCATTGCCAGGACAGGTGACCCCGTGTCTCAAATAGCTTTTATGTGTTTGCTTGTTTCAGCAGATGCCCCTCCCCCCCATGTTATCAGACACTGCGGTGGACGTGTCATCAGAACACACAATTTCGGGGATATTTATGAAAGCTCGGAATTGATACATAGTTGTCTTTTTTCGTGGGGAAACAAATACATTCCAACAATGTGACTTATTTATAAAGCAGATTCACCCGACTGCTGATCTCCTTTTCAACGTATTGCTGCAAAAGTGAAAACGATGCAGCCGAATCTGCAGACAGGACTGAGATATTTATCGTTCAGACCTTTTTTCCCCAAATGTTCTATAATCCATTGTTCTATAATCCTGTGCTGAGTTCCCGGGTCTGTACACCTGCTGTGCCCATTATGAGGATGGTGGGAGCCCCTCATAATGGGCACAGCAGGTGTAGAGACCCAGGAACTCAGCACAGGGATGGTGGGGGCTCCTCATAATGGGCACGGCAGGTGTAGAGACCCAGGAACTCAGCACAGGGATGGTGGGGGCCCCTCATAATGGGCACAGCGGGTGTACAGACCCGGGAACTCAGCCCAGGGATGGTGGGAGCCCCTCATAATGGGCACAACAGGTGTAGAGACCCAGGAACTCAGCACAGGGATGGTGGGGGCCCCTCATAATGGGCACAGCGGGTGTACAGACCCGGGAACTCAGCCCAGGGATGGTGGGAGCCCCTCATAATGGGCACAGACCCGGGAACTGTACCACCTTCTGTCAGACTGACCCTATAATAAATGCAGAAGCAATAAAGCAATATGCATGAGCAGAATTTGCCTTTGTACTGTGTGTGCCCCCTCTATCACTCCCTCTGTGTACCTGCTCCTCTCACTCATTGCGGATCAGGCTGCACTGACATCTGCAGAGCCCACTCCCAGCCTACCAGGCAGAAGCTCCTTCTAAACTTACTTCAGCCCTCCTGACTGGCCGGGGACTGCTCCGGCCCCTGGACACACATGGATCACCCACCTGCACCCTGCTGCACTGCTGCTGGACGGTGACCCCTTATCTCCTGTGCTGGATCCCCTCTCCTCTCCAATAGGCTGCATCTCAAGGTCAGTGACATTAAGGGGGGTCTGATGGCACCCACATAGAATGGATCATTGTTTGCACTTTGCGGGGGAAGGGACGAGCTGGGAACTATAGATCCTCATAGAGCCCCCGGTGTCCTGTACCGGGCTGGAATACTAATAGATCGCACTGCGGAGAGCTGTCACTGCGGCTGCATATAGACCAATCACCGGATCAATAATTCCCCGATGTGGATCGATACTCGCGGGAGATCCCTATCGATGGGCTGCAGAGGTGTGGATGAGGATTGATTTTATTGCAGATATTATATCCTCAGCTCAGCGAGAGCTCCGCAAAGAGCCGAGAGATCAATTCCATCTAAAGAGGAGGATACAATGTATCCAAATATGACTCCGAGCACTGGAAACATGTTATCAGACATCGATATGGTGCTGACATATACCACAGCGCTGTACACTGAGCCAGTCTCTGTACAGAGGAGCTTACACTCTAATGTCCCCCGACAGTCACATCAGTCTCTGTACACAGGAGCTTACACTCTAATGTCCCCCGACAGTCACATCAGTCTCTGTACACAGGAGCTTACACTCTAATGTCCCCCCACAGTCACATCAGTCTCAGCAAAGGAGCTTACACTCTAATTTCCCCCCACACTCTGTACAGAGGAGCTTACACCCTAATGCCCCACCCCCCCCCACAGTCACATCAGTCTCTGCAGAGGAGCTGACACTCTAATGTCACCCTACAGTCACACACTACTAATATTATACTTATATAGCTCTGACATATAACGCAGCGCTGTACACAGGGATGACATGTAGTAGTAATGACAGGAGAGTGTTGGGCATTGAGGGTGCTGAGCGGTGAGTGCGGCAGCTTTGGATGGTATCACATGCTGTGAATGTGGTGATGAGCGCAGCACTGCAGAGAGATTCACCGGCTGAGCTATTATTGGAACACGATGCAAAATGAGCTTCACCCACATTGCCGGCGTCTAGAAGTAACCTGAACCGCTCAGCGAGTTCTCAGCGTGTAGATAAGACGTGTTTCCAACTATGCAGCGCCAACTAACGAATAAGACTAACTAAATATTAACTGAACGTGTATAACTTAATTGGTCCTAAGACCTAACAATACAGCGTGGTCAGTGACAAAAACATATATAAACCGAAATAAATCAATAAACAATCAGTGTGTATGGATCAGTATACAACATGGGATGATTATACCAAATAAACATTCGTGTATAGCATAAAATTGTGAAATAAACAATATAAAAAATTAACAATATAAAAATTGAGTGACTGTGTTAAGTGCTCATACGATATATAAACACAATGACCCTGGACCTAAAGTCCCACAGGGTCCCTTGAATATTTAGTACTGGTGTAAAAACACAGTGGATGATGCTACAGTGTTCTCGGTGCACAAAGTTTATGAGTTGATGTGACAATCCCGTGAAACTTGCCGGGGATATGGGCAAATGCCGTACTTATCCCCTCAAAGTGTGCACTCACCGTGATGTTAAGGCTGTGATAAGCAGCCAAAAGAGCTTATATGAAACCTCACAGAGCCTCTGCGTCCTCACCGTGTCTCTTAACGATCGGTATCCAGCAAGCGGTGTGTCTCCAACGTCATATAAAGAAAAAGCCTTTCATTGTATAACGGTTTCCAAAGGGGCTTTATTTTAAATCCAGTAAAAACAGAGTAACAAAAAAGGTTTTTCGGCCGGTAAAACAGTGGAACAACGAAATCCCGTGTTTGGCATGACGTTTAGTTAGGCCCGCCCCTACGCGTTTCGTCGCAACGACGTCCTCAGGGGGTTGTGCAGGTCTAACTCGTCATACCAACTCCTCTTCTTTATAGTACGATCAATTAATATATTATCCATGGGTCGCCGCCAGATGTCCCCCTGAGATCCAATGCACCATTCCATAGAGATATATGCTTTAAAACAGTTTTTATCTCAGTAAAAAAATACATTTAATAAAAAAAAAACAAAAGGTACATCTTTTTTTCTTTAAACTGAAGATTAGAGCGCATAATGGTGTAGGTAACAAAATATTAAATTCATTCTAAAGTTTACCCAAAAACAGTGATAAAATATTCAGTATTATACGGTCATATTCATTTAGTGTGACTTTTTTCCGTATGAATTTATATACCTGATAAGTCTAATATGCGTAATTGACCGACTAAAATAATTATTTATTAAAAATCGATAACCATTTAAAAAGACGCATATAAATTAATGAAGACATATTAAAGGAGAACTATGGGGTCAGTGTTTTTCCCCATAGTTCTCCTTGGGGTAACGGGAGGACACCAACTAGCGTCCTCCCGTTACCCTAAGCTCAGTATACAGCTCGCGGTATACTGAGACGCCGCACCTGGAGCGGATCCCGACTTAGATGACTGGATCCGCCCAGCTGCGTGAGTGACAGCTGGCTCTGCCTATCTAGAGGCAGAGCCAGCTGTACCCTCCCCCGTCCGTTCCGCCAGTCAGCGCTGGGGGATCGGAGCGAGGAGGAGGGAATCCAGCCCCTCCCATGTCACGGCAGAGAGCCGTGACAGGATCGAGAGGTGAGCGAACCCGGTATGTGTTCGCTCACCTCCCGATCTACTGAGCCGACCTGTGACAGTCTCATTGTCACAGGTCGGCTTAGAACTATGAGGTGAGTGGAAATCACTCATGTCATAGTTCTCCTTTAAAATAAGAATAAATATCAGATTGCGGTCATAACTTTTAAACCATTATAAAACCACTCGATGTCTGATACTTGACCTGCGATAAAAGCCTGCCTAACCAAGAAATAAGCATCACTATATTTGTGGCCAATCACCGCTTACGTGTCTCTGGTGTATAAAATCCTTATAGAAGAGAACCTGCCTTGTCCCCAACAGTATATCATTCCCAGACCTTCAAGTACCATATTTATCAGTATTGTGTGTGATATATATTAATCTTATCTTAATCATCTTCTACTATTTACATTTTTTGATGTATAAAAGTTATTAATTATTAATATCTAAAAAATGTATGTAAATGTAGATTGGTAACTAAAAATAATGACTACAAATAATTACTTATTACTTAAAAGGCGCGCGTGAGCGGGAAAGTGCCAAAATGTAAAAACAGGCAGTAACGCCTGTTAACATACAAGCGATCCGCCGGCTATAGAGCCGGCAGATCGCTTGTAGAAGCTGCCGGTCCGTGTCGTGTGTGTGTGTCCCCTAGTCCGTCCGAAACCCTTCCTCCCACTGTCACGCTGGTCCCGGGCTCAGCTGGTCCCAGTGAGAGCATGGGCCCGCCGAGCATGGTGGCTCTATGACAGGGGATCAGAGGGAGGTCGGTACACGATCTCCCTCCGGTCCCCTCTCCGCTATCAGAATGCGGAAGTGATGTATATTACATCACTCCCGCATTCTCGTGTCACTCTCCAGCTTCAGATGCTGGAGAGAAGCTGATGAAGCAGATCTTGGAGACCCCTGATGTATCCATAAAGAAGACCTGTCACATCTCTTTGCTATCACATAGGGGGGTTTCTTAGCACCATATGTGATAGCAATAAACTTAAAGGAGAACTATGAGGCGAGTGATTTTCACTCACCTCATAGTTCTAGCCGACCTGTGACAATGAGACTGTCAGAGGTCGGCTCAGTAGATCGGGAGGTGAGCGAACACATACCGGCGTTCGCTCACCTCTCGATACCAGCAAGTTGTTAAAGGAGAACTATGAGGTGAGTGATTTTTCACTCGTCCTCATAGTTCGAGCCGACGTGCGACAATGAGACTGTCACAGGTCGGCTCAGTAGATCGGAAAGTGAGCGAACGCATACCGTCGCTCGCTCACTTCTCGATCATCTCCCTGCAAAGAGCCATGACTGTCACTCACGGCTCCCTGCAGAAAGCACTGACCCCATAGTTCTCCTTTAAGTAGACCCCAAAATGTCCTCCAGGTGGGGTTTACATCTACTTCATTTAACCCCCTCAAATAGGAATATACCTTTCCCTTACTAAAGGTATCGTACCATTCAGCCCTGGTCCCTGGGACACTGTTAACTCCGCCTACAGTTCACTTTCAGACCCGCCCAGTGACCGGTTGGTCAAGCCTCTAATTATGTAAGGACCGCTCACCATAGCGAATGCTTTATTGATTAGCCGTGAACCCCGGACATGGCCTCAGGCACAACAGCCATCATCAGGCATCAGGACAGTCGGCATCTAAGCATGCGTTGGAGTGCATGTAGACAGGAAGTGGCTGCAGGAGATCAGCAGCACTGAGAATCAAAAATGCAATTTATTTATTGTACATTGAGCTTTTAGGAAGTCAAAATGGTAAAATCTAAAATCTCCAGACTTTAAACGGAATGTGGGGGAAATAAAAACTCTCGTGCCCTATGGAGGGTGTCACCTGACTCAGCTCCGTGTCCTGCGCTCCGTGTCCTGCGCTCCGTGTCCTGCGCTCCGTGTCCTTATCTATCAGGGCAGATGACTGTATACCGCTCATTTATACTGCTGGGAAGAGTGTCAGAGGAATCCGCAAACTCCCCGGCAAGCAAGAAAATAATAACTGTCGGCAGGAAAAACACTTCTGTACTCCCAGGTAACTGTGTCACGGCCCCGCCCACTGCGACAGCTAATTGAACCTTCATTTTTAATATCAATTATAAAATATGTACAATGCCCGGTGTCTAAGGGGTTAAAACTGATTCCTTATACAACTGGGGCTCTGGCAGTGTGAATTTCATCTCCGTATCTCTGTACAGCGCTGCGGTATATGTCAGAGCTATAAATATGTGCAATAATAATGTGTGACTGTGGGGGGACATTAGTGTGTAAGCTCCTCTGTACAGAGACTGATGTGACTGTGGGGGGACATTAGAGTGTAAGCTCCTCTGTACAGAGACTGATGTGACTGAGGGGGGGGGACATTAGAGTGTAAGCTCCTCTGTACAGAGACTGGTGGGACTGGCTCAGTGTTCTCTGTACAGCACTGCGGTATATGTCAGAGCTATATTTATGAGAAGTATTAAGGAGTCCCTCCTTCCTGGTGGCGTTAATATTCAGTACATCCAGAAGTCAGTCATGTGCTCGGACATCCACGTCCTCCACTGTGAGAAGGTCATCAACCACAAGGAACAGCTAATCTGCAGAATTCTGGTGCCGTGTGTCACCCGGATTCCATTCCCCCATCCAGCAGATATTCAGCTCGGTCTGAGAATGACCCATAAGGGTCAATCTATAAACAATTCACATTCCCTCTCTGTGAACGTTCGTTCCGTGCGAACACGGGCAAAAATGAAGGTTCTTAGTATATTTTCTGTACAGGTAGAATCTAATGTAATACCATGTAAGGCCACTAGATGAAGCCGAGGAGTAAAGGAGATACGTTTTTTTGATTCAGCACCCCCAGCCTGATTCATTTCAACATGAAAAAAAAAAAGTTTTCAGGTCGTTTTGGCTGTAACTCCTGATTGTTTATATATCCGGCGTTAGTAGGCCTGAACACTTCAAAACACAACCCCACATTCCCCGAAACACCTCCATCCCCTTATCCCTAAATATTCTTCAAATATTCAAAATATAGACTTCAGGTATGTGTTTGGTAGATGTCGGCCAGTGTCAGGACAATGCGTGAGCAGTCGAATAGGCAGCAAATAGAAGAGACAAGGCAGGTTTTATCTTACAAGACATATTACAGTTTATTATCTGAGGGACAATAGCCAGAAACATCGTTCAGTGGCTGGACAACATGTAAGCAGCTTGGTTAGGCAGCAATATAAGAGGGAGAGATGAGGTGAGTTTTATCTTTAAATAAAAATAAGACAACAGCCACAAATATTTTTGACTTCCAGGGGACCAGAAAATGCCACAAAACGTAGGATATACCTTCGAAAAAACGATATGGCACCTTTATAGTGCCGCAGCACTAGTACCCATCATTATTAATATTGTTTTTTTGTTGTTTTTTTAACAAAGAATTTATTGAGTTTTTATCATAGCAACAAAGACAAAAACAATACAACAGTACAGGAAGGGCAATGCCCACTTTCATAGGTGTATACAATCAAGATGCGTAAGGCAGGGCACAAATCGGACAACAATACAACAGGTATCATGTACAGCAGATGAAGTACAGAGTTGGTATGAGCAGTGCATGGAAATATTACAACACCGATCGGTTGGAATTAATATTATTTTTTGTTATAGCCCTTTTTGGAACGTCAATATTGGTAGAACTTTACATACTGCACATTCACATCAGTCCCTGCCCTCAAGGAGCTGATGGTCTAAGGTCCCTGTGTCACATAACATTCTCTACATCAGGGGTGCCCATTAGGTAGATCGTGATCTAGCAGTAGCTCACAAAGCTGATGCTGGTAGATCACGATTGCAAGTTGGCTCACTATCCCGAGAACCCTCCTACGGTCGGTTTAGCCCCTCCCCATCTGCTGCGTTTGACACATGAAGGCAGAGGCCGACAGCATGAGAGCAGCGACTTTAGGATGGAGGGCTGAGCACGAAAGGAGGAGAAGTACGAGGTCTAGCTTCCCGGTGTTCTGTAATATTGCATAGCAGCGACTTTAGAGAGAGCCAGGAGAGAGAGGAGAGACAGCCAGGGGAGAGAGCAAGGAGAGACAAAAGAAAGGAGAGACAGCCAGGAGAGAGAGGAGAGACAGCCACGGGAGAGAGCAAGGAGAGACAGCCAGGAGAGAGAGGAGAGACAGCCAGGAGAGAAAGAAAGGAGAGACAGCCAGGAGAGAGAGGAGAGACAGCCACGGGAGAGAGCAAGGAGAGACAGCCAGGAGAGAGAGGAGAGGCAGCCAGGAGAGAGAGCAAGGAGAGACAGCCAGGAGAGGAGAGACAGCCAGGAGAGAGAGCAAGGAGAGCGAGAGAGAAGGAGCGGGTGGGAGGTTTTTTTTCGTTGGTAGATCTCATATAGCTCGTCATTTGAAAAGTAGATCTTAACACAAAAAATGGTGGGCACCCCTGCTCTACATCCTTGGTTCTCAACTGGTGGGTCGTGACATGCGATTAATGCTCAGTATCATGCATTAACACCTACGGCGTGTTATGTTGTGGAAGGTGCGTTGCGTTGCCATTCATTTGAACGACACCCCAAATGCACTTCCTACCCACAGTCCTGAACCTGAACGCCCGGTACTGCAATGCCATGCATTCCATTGCAATATGTCTTGGGTCGCGACTTAATGGCCAAGGACAAATGTGGGTCCTGCTCTACATCCTACCCAACCACTGTGCGCTGTGGAGTGTGATGCTGCACTGGATCTGCCTACAGGCAGCTCCAACAGGAGCCGGGCTCTCCTGCTGACCTGATGGGGCAGGATGGCGGGAATACATCCCATACTGGGCCCGTGGGGGACTGAGAGGTAGGCTTTACAGCACATCATTATATAGAAAAGTACGAGGACAGTGAGATTAAATGATTTATACAACTGCAGCCTAAGTCAGAATGAAATAAGGACTTCCAATGGTTGCTATCGGCACCACACCATTCTTTTTCCCTCCACCTTCTGATACAATGTTTAATTGTCTTTCTCTTGCCTCCTGTACAGACACATTCATTGTGCTGAACTTCCGTGGACATGGGGATAAAGACGGCGTTACCGCACTACGAGCTGGGCTTCTACGCCCTGGTCCTGACCTGCGGCCTGGTCTACTCCATGAACGGGATATTGGAAGCATCTCGAGGTACGCAATGACTTATTACTAATTATTGAGGACTGAAAATCACTTTGAAGTCTATCTTGAGCCAAGTATTTTTGTTTTCATATACAGCAGTGGAGAGGTAGAGCTCCCATGTCAAATCTGTGGCCCTTTGGCGCCTGTGCAAACCTTGGGGGCCCCAGCAGACAGTGGCCTGTTTTGGTGCTTGCTCTTTTATAATGGATCTTATAATGGTTCAAATGCAGCAAGGGGCTGTAGGGAGCAGAGACGTGGAAGTATTGATTAATAAAGGGGCTGTAATAGCCGTGATCTCCAGCAGTCTCATTGTCAGGAACCGGATCTGAACCCAGGACCTCTGCTGTAGCTGGCGGTGGTTCTACCTGCTGAGCCACCTTAGAACCTTGGATAGCTCCTTGCCTGATCTCCTGTGTAATCCTCAGGTAAACCTAGGTTCTGCTGAATTATTAACTCCTTGCTCCTCCCTTGAACTTCCTATTTAAGCCACGCCTCTGCCCTTCCTGTTTGCCAGATTATTGTGCTCCTGTCATTATCTTGCTTCCTGCTCCCTCTGTGATACAATCTGCTCATACTGCTTCCCGTGTACCGACCTTTGACTGCTGATTCACCGACTACTCTCACCGTCTTCTGCTTCATACCTGATACCTTTGGCTCCTGACCTCGGCTCGATCTCTGACTACGCTTCTGCCTGCTCCTATACTACTACCGTCTGCTTGTGTACCAAACCCGGCCTGTTATACAATGAATTGCCTGCTGCTTCAGCTACTGGACTCCGAGCCTGATCCCAGATCGTGACAGTCATGTAATGTGTCTCCAGTCTATAACTGTCTCCTGAAGCATGTCAGCAGTATCCAACAACATACCTCCCAACTTTATGGGATGAGAAAGAGGGACACCTTCCAGCACAATGTACTCAAGCAATGGACACACCCCTTGTCACTCTCCCAGTTATATATAGGTGATGTATAGTCAATGGACACACCCCTTGAAACTGTCCCAGTTATATATAGGTGATATATAGGCAATGGACACACCCCTTGACACTGTCCAGGTTATATATAGGTGATATATAGGCAATGGACACACCCCTTGACACTGTCCCATTTATATATAGGTGATATATAGGCAATGGACATGCCCCTTGACACTGTCCCAGTTATATATAGGTGATACATAGGCAACGGACACACCCTTTGACACTGTCCCAGTTATATATAGGTGATATATAGGCAATGGACACACCCCTTGTCACTCTCCCAGTTATATACAGGTGATATATAGGCAATGGACCTATCCCTGCCATGACTAGTAAGAGTTTATATTCCGAAAATGATTGGTTGAACCCAGAATTGTAGTTTCCTCCATTACTTTTCCTTTATTCTGGCTTTTCCAAACAGCAAACAAGATAATTAAGAGATAAGATGAAGGTTTTATTGCAGAATATGGCTGACTGAGGAGGAAGGAGGTACAGAGGGATTTGGTTCCCAGTGAGGGACAGTTGGGAAGGATGCCTAACGCCTCCTTGTAGCCTCTGACCATCTCCTCTCCGCAGTCCATGACGGGCCCGCTGTATCAAGTAAGTTGCCCCCCACTGGGTTAGAGCCTCCGTTTTGTATCAGATTTGTATTGTCCCCGTTGGTGAGATTCACGCGCTCTGTCTTCTCTTAGAAACCATTATTACATGTACTAAAAAGGATAGTGTAGTGGGTGCATGTGTATGTAAGTTTGTTTGTAGCAGCCTGTATGTATGGTTTGTTTTATTTTGCCTTTCATGTAACTAAGTTTGTACAAGCAGCATTTTTGCTACTGGGTCAGTTTCCTTGAGCTTTACTGCAAGAACAGACAACAAAATAGAAATTAAAGTTTTTCCAAGCTTTATATTGGGCTCATCCTTGGGATAAGCTCTACATTTTGGGCGCTGGTCTTTGGGATCTGTAGTTCCAAGCAAAAAATTTGGGGGCTCGTCCGGGATATGTAGTCTCAGAGCAAAACATTTGGGGGCTCGTCCGGGATGACAGTGGACTCAACTGAAACAGACCTGTCTTATGGTTTTGTACTAAATCCACAGCAAAACACTTGGGGGCTCAGTCCGGCATCTGTAGTCTCAGAGCAAAACACCTAGTCACCTCGAGTGCTGAGCGGGAAGCCATTCATGTAGGGCTGTGGTAAAACTGTCACTATATGAATGACTTCATGTACAGGCAGAGGCTTGCTTCAGTAGGTAGGCCAACAAGCTATGTAGGTCACCTAAAGTGAACAGCTAGACTTTCCAGTGAACCATGCCTCCCCACAAACTGGAACCTCATCCCTTTGTGGGGGGAGCTGGTCAGGACCATGTGAACGATGGCTGGGTCAGGTTGGAAGGTAAGTATAATTCCAGGTGGGCTGCTCTCAAGCAGGAGGGCTTGGGAAATGTATTAAAGGACCATTCCTTTAATAAAGGTAAAGTTGTCATTAAAGCGGCCCTGTCACCAGGGTAAAGTACGGAAAAGGAGACTTTTACAGGTAAATAACATACATGAAAATACATCAAAGTTGAACTCCAGCTATAGAAACTTAAATGTACTTACATTGGCTCAGCTTGGCACAGTGTAAATGTATATAAATGATCCCTGGCAGTGCCACAAGGACCCCATATAACACTATGGCAGCCACATTACATTGATCTTCTGGGTCTAGGAACAGCTGCTGTGCTGAGCGCCTAGTATCAATGTATAATAGGCATTCTCTGATTGGATATGCCATGACGTCATCTACCCTCGTCCAATCAGAGAATGGCTGGTATTCATTGAGAAAAATGCAAGGCGTTTGGAGAATGGCCGCTGTGCTAAGCGAGCGACTTGATGTGTTTTAACAGAAGAGGGGAAGTTGCTCAGCACAGCGGCCATTCAGCAAACGTTCACATCCCTCCCACGGCCCTTCCAGGGATATATGCTTACATTGTGCAAAGCTGGACCAGTGTCGGTATATATAAATTTCTATAGCAAGAGGTCAGTTTAAAATGCACATATCAACCAGGGCCGGATTGAGAGCATCATGGGCCTGGTGCTGACGGTCGGTCGGATGTGAAGCAGCAGATATGGCTCTCTAATTAGGTGGCCCCTGAGGCCCCAGTGAGAGGCTTCCTAGTGTGGCTGATTAGAGAGCCGCAAGCGCCTCTGCCTGATTGTGTTCAGCTCGGCTGGCTACTGAGCATACCAAGGAATTAAAGGCTGGGTGGGCCTGAAGCTGGCACTCCAGTAGCCAATGTGTTAATCCAGCCCTGATATCAGCTTAAGGTAAGACTGTAGTTAAGAGGAATGGTCTGGTGACAGGTCCTCTTCAAGATCAAGTGTACCTGTAACACATAATGCCGAGGCAGCAGAAGGGTAGGTAGATACTGCTCTTTGTTCCTCTAATGATGAAGGTTTCAATGTGTTTTGGAAGTGTTTAAAGTGGACCTACACCACAATAACACCCCATCGTAATACTTACTAATAGATATCTGAGTTGAGTCTGGTGGAGTGTGATTAGTAAAGGATGGACACCGGCACTCCAAAGCAAATCCAGTACGTCTACTTATTCACGTACTTGTTGTTTGTACGTGAATAAATAGGCGTAGTGGATTTGCCTTGGAGTGCCGGTGTCCATCCTTTACTTATACTTTGATGGAAGCCACCCGTTGACCACTGCTGCACCCACTTCTTATCTCATGCAGCAGCGGTTCTGAGTGCGATGGGTACACGGACTGTATCCTGGTGGAGTGTGATGACACATATACTTACCTACATGATAGCCCCCATCCCTGGGACCAGGGGCGGACTGGGCCGGGGGGCAGGGTGGCAATTGCCCCCCGGGCCTCTCTGATGCTACCGCGAACGGCCCCTTGACCCCCGGCTGCTGCCACCTGCACCCGGCCGCCCGCCCTCCGCATCCGCCGTGGCTCTGTGAATGGTGCGGCCTCTGCTCCTCAAGGAGGTGCTCGGGAGACTCCAGCAGGGGGCCCTCTAACATGCCGCGTCTACCTGGTACAGCCAGCGCGGATCGCCTCGGTATGCGATCCGGCTGGCTGCATCAGGCAGACGCGGCCCTGTAATCAGGCGCTGTAGAGGGCAGCCCGTTGGGTCCTTCTGAGGACCCCCTTGAGGACCGAGCAGCCGCCGCCGGGTGCAGGTGACAAACAGACGGCAGAGGGAGAGAGCTACTGCAGCTGCGGCCACAGCAGACACCCCCCCCGCCCCAAAACCAGGGTCCATGGAGCCCCCCACTGACCACCAGGCCAAGGTAAGGTGACAACATTTTTTTAAACAAAATCCGGGGACATTTTATCCCCGGGAGCATAAAACAAACCTTTTTTTTTTAATATATTGACCTGATCCCTGTATCCACCAAAAGTGCGGCCTCCCGTCTCCCACGCTGTTAGAGGCTGCATATGGCGCTTGCTGGTTACTACTTAAACTGGCGCACGCTGTGTGCAGCTTCTGAGAAGATACGCTATTAGCGTAGCGGGAGCGATGCAAAATGCGCAGCCGGCTTCCTCGCTATGCTAATAGCGTATCTTCTCAGAAGCTGCACACAGCGTGCGACAGTTTAATTAGTAACCAGCACGCTCTATATGCAGCGTCTAACAGCGTGGAAGACGGGAGGCCGCGCTTGTCAGTGGATCCCGGGATCAGGTGAGCAATAAAAAAAAAAAAATTGGTTTATTTTATGTTCCCGGGGACATAATTTGTCAGGAGACGGTCTCCTGAATCCGGGGACTGTGCCCAGAAATCGGGGATGAATGTAGGGCTGCAACAACTAATCGACTAAGTCGATTATAATCGATGATTGAAAAAGTTGTCAACATTTTCAATCATCGATTAATCAGCTTTCGATTAGTTGTCCCTGTTCACGGCTTCACACACGCCGCATGCCGCACCTCCTCCCCGCCTCACGCTTGCCACTGCCAGACCTGCCCACGCTCCACACGCCGCACCTCCTCCCCGCCTCACGCTTGCTGCTGCCAGACCCGCCCGCATCCACGCTCCACATGCCGCACCTCCTCCCCGCCTCACGCTTGCTGCTGCCAGACCCGCATCCACGCTGCACCTCCTCCCCGCCTCACGCTTGCTGCTGCCAGACCCACCCACATCCACGCTGCACCTCCTCCCCGCCTCACACTTGCCGCTGCCAAACCCACCCGCATCCACGCTCCACACGCCGCACCTCCTTCCCGCCTCATGCTTGCCACTGCCAGACCCGCCCGCATCCACGCTCCACACGCCGCCCCGCATCACTCTTGCTGCTGCCAGACCAGCCCGCATCCACACGCCACACCTCCTCCCCGCCTCACCCTTGCTGCTGCCAGACCCACCCGCCTGCATCCACACGCCGCACCTCCTCGCTGCCTAACGCGCACCGCCCACATCCACGATCGGCACAGGGACGCGGGGAGATGTAGTAAGGAGGAGCAGGTGTGGGGGGATGACAGCCGCCGATAGACAGGCCCGATCTCAGAAACAAGTTGCTGGAAGACTGCTCAGGTAAGCCTGCACACCCCCTCCCCCCCCCCCCCATGGTGCTCTATAATGTATTGCTGGGATAGTGGGATTTGTAGTCCTCTGTAGCTGACGGTATAATGCGCTGTACTGTATATTATACCATCAGCTATAGAGGAATACAAATCCCAGCAATACGTTACACAATGCATGTATAATGTATTGCTGGGATTTGTTGTACTCCTATATAGCTGGTGGTATTCTGCATTGCGCTGTATAGGGGACTACAAACCCCAGCAATAATACATTATACAGCGCAATGCGGAATTCCATCAGCTATAACGTACTATTGCTGGGACTTGTAGTCCTCTATAGCTGGTGGTATTCTGCATTGTGCTGTATAATGTATTATTGCTGGGATTTGTAGTCCCCAATACAGCAAAATGCAGAATACCACCAGCTATAGAGGACTACAAATCCCAGCAATAGTACATTATAGCTGGTGGAATTCCACATTGCGCTGTATAATGTATTGCTGGGATTTGTAGTCCTCTATAGCCGCTGCCATTCTGCATTGATTGCTGTATAATTTTACACTTTCCATTTCACTATATTGCACACCACACTTTTTTTTTCTTACTTCCACCGCTCCAAGCTTGCTACTGTGATGGACTACAATCTCAATACAAACTAGTAGTCCATCACTGGAGCCTTTTTTTTTGGAGCAGAGAGCCCGCACTGACCACCTGGCGGTCCGCATTGGCCACCTGAGAGCCTAATTAGGGAACCACCTCTGCTGCACACACACGCACCCGTGAAACTCTCTGGACCCCTGGTGAGAGCCCGCACAGCCCACCTGAGACCCTTTAGACATCAGGTGGAGAACCCAGAGCAACAGAGTATGTAGCTTCATATTATTCTGCATTGCGCTGTGTAATGTATTGCTGGGATTTGTAGTCCTCTATAGCTGATGCTGTTCTGCATTGCTGTATAATGGTATTGCTGGGAATTGTAGTTCTCTATAGCTGTTGGTAGTCATTATTGCTGGGATTTATAGTCCGCTATAGCTGATGGTATTCTGCATTGTTGTGTAATGTATTTCTTGGAATTGTAGTTCTCTATAGCCAATGCCATTCTGCAATGCTGTACAATGTATTTCTGAATTAGTGGCAGAACTACCAGGGTCGCAGCAGTCATGTACGCGCACAGCCCTGACGTGGCATCCCTCCTCTACCAGTGGGCTTTACATTTCCTAAACCGATAAATACATTCACACTACTGTTACATGGATGGCAAACGTGGCAGACGGGCAGGGAGAATGCGGGGAAGGGGCAGAGCGGGAGGGGGACCAAGTTGCCGCACCATGGGCCTCTGGGTTGTACTTGCCCCCTGGGCTAAAAGTTGCCAGTCAGCCCCTGCCTGGGACACTGTCACCCATGCCCACGGACGACACTTAACTTGGCCAGTTCCTAGGTGGCCACACCCAGAGCACAGCGTGTGTTTAGACTCCCCTGGATACCCGTACTACTTCACCCAAGGTCGAGTGAACGAAACAGCCTCTCATGTCAATCGACAGGACAGGATGGAACGAAGGTTTTTCAACCATTGTCATCTCGTAACTGCAGTGAAACCTGTGGGAATCTAAACCGAGACCGAGAAAAGCTTGTGGGCTGAGGTTGCTCCATCTCACTATCTATCTTTCAGCCCAGTGTGTCTCTGACACAGCACACGTGGGGATTCTACCTTGTTCCATTTCGCTGTGCGGCCACACATGCTGGAAACAACCCCTGGATTCCTTTCTGGATCGGGAGTGTTTGATACCCGCTTATTAGTGTGAGCTCAAATGAGCTGGGAGTGACACGTTCATCGGAGCCTCCGGACATACAAGGAAAAGAACCATCTGGAGTCACAATCCCACACAAGGATATACCTCATAGAACTTACTTCATCCGTGGTTAAACATGGGACCCTACCAGGACTGTCCCTCATCGTAAACCACACAGGTTGTGAGTACGCTCTGACACTTTGTATCCATCTTTAAAACACATTACCGTGTATATATTAGTGACTATTTACCACTGAGGTGGTTTCTAGATCATCACTCGTACCACTATAAGTAGAATATCCAGGGGATGTCATTTTACCTGTTTTTAGATGTCTTGTTATAGTGGATCCTATTTGTATTTGTCTTTATTGTCATTAAATATAGTCTTTTATACATTATTATACTTTGTGTCACCTGTTTACTAGATCAGCTCCAACATAGGGATTTCTTTGTTTAGGGGAAGCCTTTTTTTGAATTAGTTTACGGAAACCCTGGAGACTGATACAGATCACATATTATATTTTGTCTATAGCGTAACTCCTTATTCCCCTATTTGTTCCACACCCAGAGCACACCCACTTTCTGACACAACCCCACCCCCTAAATATGTGGAAACCGCCCACCTGAGGCCACCATCCCTTTTGGAATTACTAGCCATGCTCAGTAACGCAGATAAGGGTGATGCTGTGATCCTGGGACACCAGCACAGCATTATCGGAGCACAGGTATGAAATTCGGGACCCTCCTTCCAATTCGGGAAAAGTTGGTATTTATGGGTACAGTATTGGTGTAAGAGGTGGGATATAACTGGTACAGAAGTTGGAACTTTGTAACATGGCATTGCCCCGGCTTGTCTACCATACCTGTCCAGTCCAGTCTCCTTCTCAAGACTAATCCACATTTTTGTGTGACATCATAGAGTGTTACTTTGTGTGCCTTCAAATCTGGAGATAGATACTCAGCTCCAATCAGTTTTCAGCCATGTCACATTATTCACCTTAACAAGCACTCAATTTACCTTTTGTAGATAACATGAACCGCAAGTCCTTCAAGGAAAACGTGAAGACCGGCTGGTATTACTTTGGCCGCAAAATGGTAAGCAAGATCGATGAATAAAACATGAAAAGTGTTGCAGCGTCACATAGCGGAAGGTGTTTATGTAATGAAATGTTGTCTTGCAGGATGTGGCGGACTTCGAGTGGGTGATGTGGTTCACCACTTTTAGGAACTACATCATCTTCGCCCTCTCGGGTCACGTGATCTTCGCCAAAGTGTTCTCCCTTCTCATCCCGCAGGTGCGTTCTCTCCGGCTTGATGTAAAACCAACGTGTAGACTTTAAGGAAAACTGTAGTAAGTTCACACACACCATATAACCAAAGGTTGGTGGACACCTGACCATCACCCCTATGTGAGCTTGTTGGACATCCCATTCCAAAACCATGGCCATTAATATGGAGTTGGTGTCCTTTTGTGGCTCCAATCTTCTGAGAAGGCTTCCCACAAGATTTTGGAGGGTGTCTGTGGAAATTTGTGCCCAGTTGTGAGGTCAGGTACTGATGTTGGATGAGAAGACCCGGCTCACTTTTGGCATTCCAATTCATCTTAACAGTATTCAGTAGGGTTGAGGTCAGGGCTCTGTGTAGCACACTCGAGTTTATCCATACCAGACTGGTCACACCATGTCTTTATGGAATTGGCTTTGTACACAGGGGCTCAGTCATGGTGGAAAAGAAAAGGGTCTTCACCAAACATACACAGGGTTATTCACAAAGCTGCCGTAGGCAGCCGAGTGAATAACCGAGCCAAAGTGAAGTGAGCCGAAAGCTGTTCGGCTATTCACTTCTGGCTTGTACGGCTGATTTCAGCTGTACATCGGCTAAAATCAGTCGTACATCGGGTGCCTGCGGTCAGCAAAACATGCTCTGTATGTTCCGCAGAGTCGAAGTGCAGAGGGACTTCGACTCAGCCGATCCAACATCTGGATCGGCTGAGCCAAAGCTCCGGCAGCTCACTCGCTGCTGTTCACCCCTATTCTCTAATAGGGCCCAAACGGCAGTGAGTGAATAGCCGAATGTCGCCGAGCAGTATTCGGCTCGGCTGTTCTGCTCGGTACCTCCGAGGTACCGAGCAGAATAAAAAAAGAAGTGAAAAGAGTGAGAAACAAAATTTGCTAAATTAAGGTGACAGCTAGCTCCACCTAACTGTTTCCTATTGTCTGGAAACTGCCAGAGTCTTCAACAGGTCCCGGGCAATAAATAATAAATAACAACTGGGCGGAGCCGGCTGTGACATTGTTATTGTTTAATGACAGATCAGCGTCCATAGGTCATTTGGGGACGCTGATCTGTCATTACAACTGGGCGGGGCCAGACGTGTAAGAACGGCCGGCTCCGCCCAGCTGTCATTTGCGTGGAGATCTGTCGGCTTCGGCCGACCTTTCTCCATGCTTCCGCTGTTACTTCGGCTCAGTCGAGTCGAAGCATATGCGTTCGACTCGGCTGAGCCGCTCGGCTGCCTTCGAATAGGCACGAATGGAAATCTGTTTAACCTGAGCTGGCGCCCTTACCTGCTGCAGGACCTGCCGGCTTTCATATATGCAGAGAAGGGCGCCGGCGTCACGTAAGCGCCTGCCGTGGCAGCCTTATGTAGCGCCTGGAGTCCTTCCGCTGCATTTGCGAAAGCCGGCGGTTCCTGTAGGCGCCGCTGGTCCTGGAGCTGGAGGGTGCATTTTGTGCAGAAGTATCTTGACACAACACCGGGAAATAGGCAGGTTAGATACCTGCATGACGCCCCTCTATGAAGGGCACCTGTAGGCACGTATCTACTCTGCCTAATGGGAAATCCGGCCCTGAGTATAGGCTCAATGTATAAAGCTTTATCACCACGATAAGGATCTTTATTTTAGGCTGTTTGAGTGTAATTCAGCTGAAAATAACCGTCACTTTTTATAATAAAGCTGCTGATTCCGGTGTGTTAGCTTTGCCAATGTAGCCTATTGTCCCATGATGTCTGGGTGTGGCAACTGTCAGATGTGTGCACATTCAGTGACAGTTAGATCCGAGCCACTCATTAATAGCAATGGGAAAGGAGTGAGAGGGAGGGTAGGAAGGAATAAAGGATGCAGGGGGAGGGGAGGAAGGAATGGAGGGTGTAAAGAAAGATGGAAGGAGGAAGAGAAGACAGGGGAAGGAGGAAGTAGGGGGGGGGGGAAGAAGGAAGGAAGAGAGGGTGAAAGAAGGGAAGGAAGGAAGGAAGGAAGGAAGAGGGAGGGTAGAAGGGAAGGAAGGAAAGTTGAGAGGGAAGGAGAAAGAGAGGGGAAAAAGAACAAAGGAATATAGGTTGAAGGAAGGGAAGGCAAGGAGTAGGGGAGGAAAGGAAAAGGGAAGCAAGTAGGATAGGTAGGTAGAATGGAGAAAAAGGGAGGGAGATGGGGGAAGGATTGAAAGAGGGAAGGAAAAAGTGCAGGAAGGAAGGATGATAGGTAGAAAGGAATGGAAGGAGGTGGAGGAGGTTACTGAAGGGGGTAGGAAAGGGTGATAGGTAGGAAGGAAAGAATGGAGCAAAGGACTGGAGAGAGGGAGGGAGAAAGAGAGATGAAAAGAGGGGAAAGAATTGAAGGAGGAAGGAAAGAAGGAAGGAATGACAAAGGAAACAAAGAAAGAAGGTAGAGAAGGAAAGGAAGGAGGGAGGGAGGAAGGATGGAAGATAGGTAGTTAGAAAGCAGCGGAAGGAAGGGAGATAGGGAATAGAAGGTAGGAGGGAGGAGAAAAGGGATGTTAGGAAGTATGATTGGTAGGAAAAAAAGAGTGAGATGGGGCAGGGAAGGTAGGAAGGAAGGATTATAGGTAGTAAGAAAGGGAGGGAGATGGGGCAGGGAAGGTAGGAAGGAGGGAAGGAAGGGTGATAGGTAGGGAGGAAGGGAGGGAGATGGGGCAGGGAAGGAGGGAAGGAAGGGTGATAGGTAGGGAGGAAGGGAGGGAGATGGGGCAGGGAAGGTAGGAAGGAGGGAAGGAAGGGTGATAGGTAGGAAGCAAGGGAGGGAGATAGGGCAGGGAAGGGTCATAGGTAGGATGAAATGGAGGGAGATGGGGCAGGGAAGGTAAGAAGGAGGGAAGGAAGGATGAAAGGTAGGAAGAAAGGGAGGGAGATGGGGCAGGGAAGGTAGGAAGGAGGGAAGGAAGGATGATAGGTAGGGAGGAAGGATTGGGATGTTGAAGAATACCACCATATAAACCTAACTGATTCCAGTCCATGATATAACTGATTCCAGTCCATGATATAACTGATTCCAGTCCATGATATAACTGATTCCAGTCCGTGATATAACTGATTCCAGTCCGTGATATAACTGATTCCAGTCCGTGAGAAGGAAGGAAGGAAGAGGGAGGGTAGAAGGGAAGGAAGGAAAGTTGAGAGGGAAGGAGAAAGAGAGGGGAAAAAGAACAAAGGAATATAGGTTGAAGGAAGGGAAGGCAAGGAGTAGGGGAGGAAAGGAAAAGGGAAGCAAGTAGGATAGGTAGGTAGAATGGAGAAAAAGGGAGGGAGATGGGGGAAGGATTGAAAGAGGGAAGGAAAAAGTGCAGGAAGGAAGGATGATAGGTAGAAAGGAATGGAAGGAGGTGGAGGAGGTTACTGAAGGGGGTAGGAAAGGGTGATAGGTAGGAAGGAAAGAATGGAGCAAAGGACTGGAGAGAGGGAGGGAGAAAGAGAGATGAAAAGAGGGGAAAGAATTGAAGGAGGAAGGAAAGAAGGAAGGAATGACAAAGGAAACAAAGAAAGAAGGTAGAGAAGGAAAGGAAGGAGGGAGGGAGGAAGGATGGAAGATAGGTAGTTAGAAAGCAGCGGAAGGAAGGGAGATAGGGAATAGAAGGTAGGAGGGAGGAGAAAAGGGATGTTAGGAAGTATGATTGGTAGGAAAAAAAGAGTGAGATGGGGCAGGGAAGGTAGGAAGGAAGGATTATAGGTAGTAAGAAAGGGAGGGAGATGGGGCAGGGAAGGTAGGAAGGAGGGAAGGAAGGGTGATAGGTAGGGAGGAAGGGAGGGAGATGGGGCAGGGAAGGAGGGAAGGAAGGGTGATAGGTAGGGAGGAAGGGAGGGAGATGGGGCAGGGAAGGTAGGAAGGAGGGAAGGAAGGGTGATAGGTAGGAAGCAAGGGAGGGAGATAGGGCAGGGAAGGGTCATAGGTAGGATGAAATGGAGGGAGATGGGGCAGGGAAGGTAAGAAGGAGGGAAGGAAGGATGAAAGGTAGGAAGAAAGGGAGGGAGATGGGGCAGGGAAGGTAGGAAGGAGGGAAGGAAGGATGATAGGTAGGGAGGAAGGATTGGGATGTTGAAGAATACCACCATATAAACCTAACTGATTCCAGTCCATGATATAACTGATTCCAGTCCATGATATAACTGATTCCAGTCCATGATATAACTGATTCCAGTCCGTGATATAACTGATTCCAGTCCGTGATATAACTGATTCCAGTCCGTGGTGGTTGTCGCAGATGTTGGCTGACCGCCGTTCTGTGTTCTTTGCCTCCAGAGTGATTTTGTCCCGGGATCTTTCAGTCTACAAGACATCCTCTTCTATGGCGGTGCCGGATTCAGCATCCTGCGCTGTATGAGCTTCGCTCTGGAGACGTGTGACAGAAAGGAAGGATTCTACTCCCCCATCGACCTTCTCAAGTACAACTTCTACCTCCCGTTCTTCTTCTTTGGCCCAATTATGACTTTTGACCAGTTCTACCAGCAGGTGGGTCCCAGTCTCTTCCAGTTCCTCGGTGTCTGCTGGTAATCTCAGAGAGAGTCAGGAAATGGGCATTTGTAAAGCTGCGAATCTCTACTTCATAATAGTACAAACTTACCCCCTCAGAGATGGCTGTGTGTGCTGTTGTTCCCTTATATTTCTCTCCCTGTTTTAGGAGAATGTCAGTCTTATGGTGAAGCTGTAGGACCTGACACTGTGTCCGGGCTGCTGGTGGAAGCCTATTGTATTCTTGTATATATTCCTAACAGCTTCTTTGTTATAATGATGGATTTTGGATTGTCTGTTACCAGCACTGAGCTCAGGCAGGAGAAAGGACGGCATATATGGGGTGACACCAGCGGCATCCTGAGGCCGGGTGCCAACCGGAGCGGTTACCGGGTCACACCCCACCGTGACGTCACAGCGCGTGCACGTGACGTCACCACGATCTTATTGATACCTGCTGGGGGCCATCTTGGTGATGGACGCTGGCAGAGAGAGGAGGGGACAATCACTCGGCGGGATAAGGTATGCCCCCGGGTCCCCTCCTCTCTCCCGAAACTGTTGGGCGCACGGTCCATGACCGAGTGCCCGACTTTTCAGAGGGAGGGTGACACCAAAATGACTGACAATCATTTTGGTGTCACCCCTTAATTTGTATCACTCGGGTGCGGGCCGCACTCCCCTTGTGACGTTACTGGGTGACACTTTTTGTTCTGAAGGGGAGAGAATACAAGTAAAAAATGAAACATCAAGCAACAGTTTAAGAAGTCACAGAAATAAATAAAAAATAAATGTGCAGTCAGACAGACTTTGTACCATTTCTCATCGCCTTGCATCCACTTTTGTAGTTAAGCACAGGGAGTGTAAATATGACTGGGCAGTCCTACATAGGCATTAGACCCAGTGCATCCAGTAATCAGCACTCAGTAACTGGTCGGACATGTGATTGTGTGCGCAGAGCCAAACAGCCATTGGTGAAAGAGTTTCTCACTGTAGCCTCAGGCGAGAAGCCACGCATGCCAGGCATGGCCCCTATAGGTAATTTCCTATGTCAAGCCTCGACCATAGGTATTGGAGGATATTATTGATACATTGTTGAATTGAAGGAGAACACGAGACGTCTCTGTTCATGTATGGCCCCTGGTCTGTAATCTGACATTGGGTTGCTCGTGTCACAGGTGAACACCAAGGCGCTGACCCGCAGAGAGAACGACATGTGGAACATTCGAGTCCAGGCCGCAGTCCACGTGCTGGTCATACTTCTGGTGAACGTCTTCTTCCACTTCCTGTACATTCTCAGCATCCCCTCCGACCTGAAGTGTGTGAAGAAAATGTCAGACTGGTCGCTGGGTAAAGTATCACTTCCTGTCACCCGATACGTGGATACAACGGTTCTTCCTTCTCTGTCCAGTCAGCTGGGGCTGCAGTTGGTGAATTCCTTCTCAGTAAATCCTTTACTTACATAGGCGGCCATTGCTGACCCGCTTCTAAAAATGCTACTTACCCGGCTTGAAGCCCAATTCCAGGTTTTATATTGTTATGTCCCCTTCAAGGTATTTGTATTTCTGGCTGCCATTCCCATCTTCTGCCTGGAGCTGTCCCCTGCAGTGCATCTTCTCTGCCACTAGATGTCCTCAGTCTTCCAGGTGGAATAATGCCCAATGTAACTCTACCTGGAAGACCTAGGATAGATTGTGAGTGCAGAGTGTTATGTCCCTCCTTCTTAACATGCTAGTTGCCTGGCTTTCATTGATATTCAGTAGGTTATAGTACTATGAGACACTGACCTGGAACAAGCATGCAGCCAGCGAAGCCAGCTTTAAGTCCAACTCCAGGTTTAAATGACACCCTGAAGGTCTTTTTATGGCTGCCATTCCCATCTTCTGCCTGGAGCTGTCCCATGCAGTGCATCTTTTCTGCCACTAGATGTCCTCAGTCTTCCAGGTTGCATAATACCCAACATAACTCAATCTGGAAGACTGAGGATAGATTGTGAGTACAGGGTGGCATGGCCCTCCTTATAAACCTGCCTTGTTGCCTGGCTGTCATGGATATTCAGTAGGTTAAATACTATGAGACACTGACCTGGAACAAGCATGCAGCCAGCCAAGCCAGCTTTAAGTCCAACTCCAGGTTTAAATGACACCCTGAAGGTCTTTTTATGGCTGCCATTCCCATCTTCTGCCTGGAGCTGTCCCATGCAGTGCATCTTTTCTGCCACTAGATGTGAGTGCAGGGTGTCATGGCCCCAGACCTTAGAAATCCTTTGGCAGGTGAAAAAGCTCTCTCACAGTGTGCCTGGATTTAACAGTTTGGGAGGTCAGTACTCGATAGCTGTTTCTCTCAGGTGTTATGAAAGGCTGACACATGTTAAACAATACCCATCTTTGGAATGCACAGGAATGTACTTTACTGCTGGAGACCATCTTGGTGATGGACACCAGCAAAGAGAGGAGGGTCCGGTATGCCGATGGATTCCCCCCCTTGTGCAGCTGTCGAGCTCTTGGTCCATAACCGAGTGCCTGAATTTTAAGAGGGGGTGACACCCAAATGACTTTTAGTCATTTGGGTGTCACCAGGTGCAGACCGCACCCCCCTTGTGACACCACTGCCTTGCTGTCTTATATGGCTGTGTGACAAAAGACTGGTGAGGACACTTTCAAGAACCTGGCAATCTGGAGACTCCGTGTCACTGCCCCATCTCCTCCCTGCTCCCTTGGGCTTCTAACTGGCTACCATCACTCTGGTGACAACTGATTATTCTGTAATAGCACCATTGTGCATCCTCTAACCAATCAGTTTACAGGATATCCACTACCATTTTAAGGCTAAACATTCAGCGTAGGTGGAAAAAAGCGTTGAAATGAAATAAGAGGCAACACAGCAAACCTCGACAGGCAACAGTAGATATCTACACATATCAAATTAACAATAGAGGCAAAAACAAACATTCTTACTATATTTTCTTCTGTAATACCACATTATGGCCACTAGATGGAGATAAGTATTGATTTCCTATGCTCCTCAGCTCCATCTAGTGGCCATAATGTATTTATTTCCTGTGCTCCTCAGCTCCATCTAGTGCCCATAATGTAGTACAATACATACTTATCTCCTATACTCCTCAGCTCCATCTAGTGGCCATAATGTATTTATTTCCTGTGCTCCTCAGCTCCATCTAGTGCCCATAATGTAGTACAATACATACTTATCTCCTATACTCCTCAGCTCCATCTAGTGGCCATAATGTATTTATTTCCTGTGCTCCTCAGCTCCATCTAGTGCCCATAATGTAGTACAATACATACTTATCTCCTATACTCCTCAGCTCCATCTAGTGGCCATAATGTATTTATTTCCTGTGCTCCTCAGCTCCATCTAGTGCCCATAATGTAGTACAATACATACTTATCTCCTATACTCCTCAGCTCCATCTAGTGGCCATAATGTATTTATTTCCTGTGCTCCTCAGCTCCATCTAGTGCCCATAATGTAGTACAATACATACTTATCTCCTATACTCCTCAGCTCCATCTAGTGGCCATAATGTATTTATTTCCTGTGCTCCTCAGCTCCATCTAGTGCCCATAATGTAGTACAATACATACTTATCTCCTATACTCCTCAGCTCCATCTAGTGGCCATAATGTATTTATTTCCTGTGCTCCTCAGCTCCATCTAGTGCCCATAATGTAGTACAATACATACTTATCTCCTATACTCCTCAGCTCCATCTAGTGGCCATAATGTATTTATTTCCTGTGCTCCTCAGCTCCATCTAGTGCCCATAATGTAGTACAATACATACTTATCTCCTATACTCCTCAGCTCCATCTAGTGGCCATAATGTATTTATTTCCTGTGCTCCTCAGCTCCATCTAGTGCCCATAATGTAGTACAATACATACTTATCTCCTATACTCCTCAGCTCCATCTAGTGGCCATAATGTATTTATTTCCTGTGCTCCTCAGCTCCATCTAGTGCCCATAATGTAGTACAATACATACTTATCTCCTATACTCCTCAGCTCCATCTAGTGGCCATAATGCGGTATAATACACACTTATTTCCTGTGCTCCTCAGCTCCATCTAGTGCCCATAATGTAGTACAATACATACTTATCTCCTATACTCCTCAGCTCCATCTAGTGGCCAGAATGTGGTATCATCATTAGTATTGATTACGAGGAGCGCAGTAGAATTCTCTAATAGTATGGATTATTATATCTACACTCTGTTCCTCGGCTGTCATGTTTTAGCCGGTGAATGATATCTACAATACACAGAGTGTCACATTTATGTTATTTTTTCTTCATTCATTTACATTTTACATTATACCATGGCTGGCTTTTACACTTTATAATCGTGTGCCATGTTTCCCCCCCTGGCAGCGGGTCTGGCGTACTCCAACCTGGTATATGACTGGGTGAAAGCAGCTGTGATGTTCGGGGTGATCAATACCATCTCCAGACTGGACCACCTGGACCCACCGCAGCCCCCCAAATGTATCACCATGCTTTATGTCTTTGCTGAAACGTAAGTCAACACAATACTGGCCTGAGTGCCGTTATATATAATGTGCCTCGGGAGGAAATACAGGGGGCGTAGCTGTGTCAGGGCCCAGGAGGTGAGTAGAGGGCCCTCAATATGCCGCCTAGGTTTACAAAATTACATTTTATAAAGATTCTAAAAAATGTTTTCTTATTTCTTTTCCATTTCAAAAGTCTGATTATTGTTTCTTCTGCTGTTTCAGGCACTTCGACAGAGGAATTAACGACTGGCTGTGCAAGTGAGTACCATCGGGGTGACCTGTATGTCAGTGCGCCGTCTGTGTCCTTATTGGGTCTAGTCGCAGATATTGTGACTCCCCTCAGAAGCCACAAAAGTCAATTTCATTTTGTCTTTCCTGTAATGTAAAATGGTGAAATTTTGGCAAAATTTTCCTCCTTTTTCTCACCCGTCGTCTTGGATATTCCACCAGTGAGAAGTCCCAATCACAATTCCCAGCTCTGCTTCTGTCCACATGGATGCTTTGGGCGTTGGGTGTCTCAGCTCCCTGGACTTGGAAACGTAGTACAGAAATGGTGGGATCCCCTCATAATGGGCACAGCGGGTGTACAGACCCGGGAACTCAGCACAGGGAAGGTGGGAGCTCCTCATAATGGGCACAGCGGGTGTACAGACCCAGGAACTCAGCACAGGAATGGTGGTAGCCCCTCATAATGGGCACAGCGGGTGTACAGACCCGGGAACTCAGCACAGGGATGGTGGGGGCCCCTCATATTGGGCACAGCGGGTGTACAGACCCGGGAACTCAGCACAGGG